TTTTAGGTTGGTATATGTTACCAAAATATCAGCCAGTATATTTACCCATTTTTATCATTATTTGTGTTTAAACAATTATTGTGTATGTTTAAACAACTATACCAATTGTGTGTGTTCTGGGTATTATATAGTACAACCAATCATTATTTTTAACATTTTTTAGTATTTTTAATATTTTGGTATATATTACTAGAATATCAGCCAATATATTTACCTATTTTTACCATTATTTGTGCTTAAACAACTATACCAATTGTGTACGTTCTGGGTATTATATAGTACAACCAACTAGCATTTTAAATATTGTATAGCATTATTCAAATATCATATCAAATTATTACGTTAATGATGTCTATTATAAATCAAACACTCACTTTAACTAGCTTTAATTGTATTCAATGTTCTTTTTTCACCATAAGTACACCAATTGTGCTAGATTTATTTGTATGTTACACTAATATTCACTCATGAGCATATTTTTTTTAACATGTTGTCAATTATCTAAGTCACCCAGAATGCAACATTGTATGACAAACACGAGAATTACCAAACATGTATGCCAAACAAGAGAATACCAAGGAAATGTCAATTCAAGAGTAACCAAAGTTGGATAGAAGTGCATTTTATTCAGTTTTAAAAAAATTCTGAACTCTTGGAAGAAAACGTCAACAATAATAATTGAAAATAATACAACAATGTTAATTCTGATAAGCAAATTTGAGGCAAGTCTTTTGTTATGCCCTGATGTACCACATTTAGTACAAGTGACTTTACTCCTCTTGTATTTTCCTTCGTTACTTGGTGGTCTGCCTGGTTGTTTTGTTGCAATTGGTGGTAGCATTACCTCTTCCAAAATATGCGATGGAATATACCAAGTGCTTTCGCAAGGCAATGGCTCTATTCGAATTGCATAAGTATCTTGAAAATTCTTATTACTATAATAGAAGGAACAATAATCTTCGTGATGTTTGTTTCTAATTAGACCAATAAATATACCAACTCATACATCAGAGTATTATTTTGGTGTCATTTACCACATCACATACCTAAACCAATTTGTGGTAATTCACACAATCAGTTAAATCATACAATGTATTACACCAATCGACGTACCAAAAGTAATCTGACATTTAACCCAAAAATACTCCAACACATTGATTAGAGTATTAATTTACCACCAATTTATAGAAACAAATATACCAGATTAAGTACCTGATCACATATGATCAATTTTCAAATTATTATCTACACCAATTCGGATAAATAAAATACACCAAAAAACTAACCAATTTTTTTTTTGGAAGTTAAAATTTATATACCAAATAATACAACTAAATACAGAAAAATTTATAAAAAACTTATTTGATTCATCATATTACAACCAAAATCATATGATTGTGTTGTATTACACCAAAAACGTTAATATAAAACAACGAATAAATACCAAAAAGAATTAAAACACAGATTATGTGAAAATCCTAATAATAATTCCACAAACAATTGATAAATCTTAATATCTATTTAATAATTAAACCTTTTACAGTTGCACCAGAACATTAACCAAAATCTTATGAATGTATATTCCACCAAATTCAACAAAACCAAAGGAATTACTACCAAAAAGATTACCTGATGAGTCTCAACACCCGTTGTGATAAATTAAAATTGAAAAATTATTGATCTGCATATTTGATTGTCGATCTTAGTTTGGAAGAGAAGTTTTATTTTTGTAGGAAACCTTTCTTTATGGGATATGATATATAACAAATTGGAGTAAATCAGGGAAAGTAAAATAATTGGAGAAATTTAAGGGATATGGATAATTGTGGCTGTAAAACGTTTTTTTATTTTTTTTTAATAAGAATTCCAGTTTTGAAAAAAAATATTGCTATTCAATTGAAAAAAAAATATTAGCTATATTCGTGTAATTAAAGTTATTAAGTTGTATACTTAAGTTTTTTGCCCTTTGTATTTTAATCATGTATAAAACACATTGTTTGTCATTAGGTTTATGACTTGTTTGTATGTTCGAAGAAGGTTTCTAATGTTTTCTATTATGATTAATTTTATATCAGTCATGTACGAAATATTTCATTAAATTTATGATATCTTGATATGTTATTAATTAAATGAATTAGTGAGAAAGAGATTTCTAATATTTACTTTTATGGTTATTTTTTATTTTAATAACGTGAAAAACACGTTAAATTAGTTAGGCATATCGTTTGTCCATATATTCATCAATAAACAAAAATGAATTAGTAAAGAAAATTACTAATGTTTTCTATTATGGTTATTTTGTATTTTAGTCACGTGCAATATATATATATATATATATTAGTTTTATGATTCGTATTTATGTTGATTATTCGAAGAGGATTGTTATTTACCTTATATATATTATGATTGTTTTTTATTTTGATTACGTATAAAATATGTTATTTTTATTAAATTTATGACACGTCGATATGTTCATTAATTAAATGAATTAGTGAGGAAGATCTCTAATATTTACAACTATATGATTATAATTTTTTCTATAACGTAAAGAATATGTTAAGCTGGATTATATATGCTCAAAATAATATAATAGGAACAAAAGTGTATATACTATAAAACTTATAGGACCCTTTTTCAATTAAAAACTCTAAAATGATAAGGTGACAGAAGCTTATTTGACTTTTTCTTGGTACTTATCCGATAAAAATACGAACTTCACTTACGTAAGTGAGTTTTCGAAACCGTTTTCGATTTATTATTATTTGTTGTTTTCTTTGCTTCGATTATCATTTTATTTGTTGTTGTTAGTATTTTTTTTCCTTTATTTTTGATGTGATATTTCATTATTATATTTCCTTTCCTTACTAATATTAGATATGTTTTTCTTGAATAGAAACGTATATTGAAAATGTTCTTTCTATCTTCACAAGATAGAAACAAAACTGTGTACACATTATTTCGTGAACTTATGCTCGATAATCGATATATTCTTATTGTTTGTTAGTGAGTTTCCAATATATATACATTCAATCGGTATACTGTTCCAAACTAACTTGAAACAAAATCTCTTTTTTTTCCATCTGGTATTTGGAGTCCACATTAAAGTCCCAATTAAACTCGGATCTCGAATTATAGGACCCATTTAGGGGTGACTCTCCCAACAAAACTTTCTAAACTAACTTGAAACAATATCTCTTTTTCTTTTGGTTTCACACCAGGTGTTCGGAGTCCACATATAGGAGCCCTGATTAAATTCAAATCACGCATTGCAGGACCTATAAGAAGGTGACTCTCCCAACAAAATTTTCTTCATATTTAAAGCTCAAACCTAAAATCTCTGGTTAAGGATGAAGCAGCTTCATCACAGCACAACAATCGATATTGGTTAAAATAATATCATTATGGAGAATACTGATAATAGTACATAAAATAGTAGAAAATTAGAATAATAATATAAAAGGACGATTTTGCACAAAATTTCTAAATAACAGGGTAATTATATAATATATCGAAAGATAAGGGACTACTATTGTAAATAAATAAAGTTTCCTCTTTCATTTTCCATTTCCTTTATATCAGTTTCCTGTCCTAAAAGAACCGATCCCCACTCTCTAAAATTCTCTCTCTAAAAATTCCGGTGAGATGGTCGCCGTAAGTTCATTTACCGGCGAATATCCCGGCACAATAGTTACCTGAGATCGGATCGAAACTTACTTCACTCCAGCAATGGAAGCATCACCACACTGGTTTTGCTCTCCGGCGACGCTAATTTGCAGCTAGCAGAAATAAGTAGCTGGTTTTCCGGTGAGATCCGAATAGGTTTCCTTACCTGGTTTGGATCCGAATCTCTATCTGTTTTTCCTTACCAAATAATTCATTTCTTATTCAATTTACCTCTTTGCTCAAGTTTAATAAGCTTTGTTCTGTGTATTTGATATTTTCTGCTTCAAAATAAGGGAAAATTTCTGAATAATATGTGAAATTTGAATCTTAGTGGAAAAAACATGAGGAAGTTTGAATATTTTGGGTAATATTTCGAAGTATTTGATTAGAGTTTTGACATACTCATGGAGTTGTAATGGATAGTTAATAAGCGAGCTGGAGTTCATTGTTTTTTGGTGCAGAGAAATTGATATTTTGATGGAAAATTTGGGAATTTTGTGTTTTCACAAATAAATTTTGTGGCTTTTTTCAAGTGTGTGATTGATTGGAAACTGTGGGTTGTGTATGATAACATGGCTTCTGAAACTAAGAAGTTGAAGAATGAGTATTTGTTTGGGAAGGAGGAAGAGGAGAAAGGGAAGAGAATGAGGTTAGAAGAAGAAGATGATGATGGTCATTGCAAATTTAGATCAAGTGATTCACTTCTTCCAGGCCTACATGATGATGTTGCTTTAACATGTCTTGCTCGGGCTTCTAGATCAGATTATGCATCGTTGTCGTGCCTGAATGCTAGGTTTAATTCATTAGTCAAGAGTGGTTATTTATATGATTTAAGGAGGCGGATAGGTGTTGTTGAACACTGGGTTTATATGGTTTGTGATCCTCGGGGTTGGGAGGCTTTTGATCCTTTCGGAAAAAAATGGTTGAGATTGCCGAAAATTCCTTGTGATGATTGCTTTAATTATGCAGATAAGGAGTCATTAGCGGTTGGTAGTGAACTACTGGTTTTTGGCCGTGAGTTGTTTGATTTTGCTATATGGAAATACAGTCTGATTCAAAACAACTGGGAAAAATGTGAAGGGATGAATCATCGTCGTTGTCTGTTTGGATCAGGTAGTCTTGGTTCAATTTCTATTGTTGCAGGGGGTAGTGACAAGAATGGAAATGTACTAAAATCTGCTGAGCTTTATGATTCTTTGACCGGTAGATGGGAAATACTGCCAAACATGCATTCTCCCCGTAGATTATGTTCTGGCTTTTTCATGGATGAAAAATTTTATGTGCTCGGTGGGATGACTAATCCTACCGATTCTTTGACTTGTGGGGAAGAGTTTGATCTACAAACGAGGAAGTGGAGAAAAATTGAGTGCATGTATCCAAACGTCAATAGAGCTGCTCAGGCACCTCCTCTTGTTGCAGTTGTTAATAACCAACTATATGCAGTTGAATATCTAACCAACATGGTAAAGAAGTATGACAAGAAAAAAAACTCATGGGAGGTATTGGGAAGACTTCCCGTGAGGGCTGATTCTTCGAATGGTTGGGGTCTTGCTTTCAAAGCATTTGGTGAAGAACTTCTTGTGATAGGTGGCAATAGGGGTCCAGAAGGTGAAGCTATTATATTGAGTTCTTGGGCACCAAAATCAGGGTGTAAAGACGGCACCTTGGATTGGAAGGTCATCGGCCTAAAAGAGCATTCTGGTGTCTTTGTATACAATTGTGCCGTGATGGGTTGTTGAGAAGTTCATCCAACCAAATGGAGAAAGAAGTCATTCGTTTCAACTGTTGTTTCTAGCGTAATTCCAACACATTGTTTGATTTATTAGCATTTGTTTTTTATTTAACATCTTTCAGGTGTTTGAGATAAGCAATTGTTCTAGCTAAAACGTCCTCTTAACTGGATGGTTATTTTCACTCACTCATTCTCCAGACTGCTTGCTTCCAGATTGCGGTTTTCACCTTGTTCATTGAGTTAATATGGTTGATTCACTGATCTACATGATACTAAATAATGGATATTTTTCCTCTTATGGGTCTGAATTTCCTTTCCTGAGGCTTCATTAAATTATCTGTATGTTTTCCTTGGTGATTTGTTCTCAAGGTTGTCTTATTTTGGTCTGGCTTTACTTTAGTGTGAATAGGAAACTTGTTATGCGCGATGAAGGAGATATCATTAGCTCACTCGTCTTGGTTTAATCTTTCTTTCGACTGTAAATGCGTAAAACAGACTCATTTGATGTAGGGATTGGGGAATGAGGTTGTTGTATTAAGTTGAATCTGTTCTTGCTCTTCAAAGGGTGTATTGCTGTAATGGTTTTAAAGGGGTTCAGTTGTATCCCCCCTTATTGGAAATTATACTATTGCAAATAGGATAAAAATGTCATTTTTTTGGTGTGTATATATTTTAGTATGATGATGATAAAAATGTCATTATTTTTGGTGTGTGTAAATTTTAGTATGATGATGATACAAGTTTAGTAGGTTTTTCGTGTGAGATAGCAGATATCCTATGAAATTAGTTGAGGTGCGTAACCTAGTAAGATATCAAGTTCCAAGACCTGCATTGACAGAGAAAGAAGAGCTGTACACTGTTGATATTTGTTAAATTCAGTATAGTCTGAATTATGCACTTGTCCTCCACTCAAAAACAAATTTTGGAATTTTATTTCCTTAAATCAACAGTAAAAGTACCATTTATTTTTATTATATATATGTATATTGTTAAATTTATTTTTTCTGACACAAATTGATGTGCACTGGATTTTTTTCTAATTGTTTAACATAACAAAAGTACAACTCAGTAAGCATCTTTTCTTCAAACACAAAACATAACCAAAAGAATATTCTTGGATAGGAACTCTTCAACAAATTGTCCATTACTGAAGTCATTCTCATCTCGTTCCGAATATTTTCGATCATAATTCTATCTTTCTTAGTATTTTCATTTATTCATTTCACCTTTTTCATTTCCGCTACTTTTATTTTTTGGACGTACGAATTCTTCATCAGCCAACATTTTGTTACATTACAACATAAATTTCTCACCAAAATTGGACTAATTTTGCAATGTAAATAATGCTACCTAATTATAAATTGATACAAGTGTTGATGGAGTGGGACATAAATTTTATTATAGAATTACGTGATACTTATGTTGATGAGAGATGATAAATATTGATAGAATAAATCAATTTATGTGCAAATTGATTTAGACACCATCGTTTAAAATAAATTCATATTTATGGCAAGTTGTAAATCTCTAACAAAAAAAATATTCAAATTTAATTGATCTTTAAATCGCTTAACAATTCTAAACAAAATCAACTGCTGAATACATTGACACCCCTTAAACTCACAACTACTTCATTTAAATACTCAAATGATGACATATTTCATATTTGTGTGTATTTTTAAGCCCCATGTAAATAGAAACATTATATCGTTGTTCGACTGCTTCATCAGAACAAGCGCTTTAGCCTAAAAGGTGCTTCATTGAAACAAACTGTAATTTTAGTGTCTAATAAATCTTATTAATAAATTTAAGAGGTTGTCGATGTATTTTATCGTAATCATTCTTTATGTATAGTTAAATATTCAAAATTCCAAGAAAAAAAAAACTGGAATATTTATTGCAGGATTTGTTTTTTTGTGATGGGAGTATTTATATCTATGCACATGCATACAGTAAGTGAAAAGGGAAATATTATTATTTTTAATGAAAAAAAGAATCTGACTTTAGTTTATGTGAAAGGTATGGTATTTGCAGAATTTGTGGGACTCATGTGGTTGTACTAAATTTATTTATTTATCTAGAAAAAGCAAATGCCTTATTTGGACAAAACTTTGGTCATTTTTGTCCATTTTGATATGTCATTTTTAGCCCATATAAGGGGAAAAAGAAATGCAAATCCCCCTGCTTTTTGGGATTGTGGGGGAAAAAAAAATTAACTTTAATTTAATCTGTACATATAGGTATAATATTTTAAATTATTAGTTTAATGTTAGCAGACTCAGCACTATGGTTTTTTTATTTTTACTTTCTAGGTTATGCAATTAAGTGCTAATTTTTAAATTAAGAGTACTGACTCTTGTATGTATGTGTAAATACTTGTTTTTCTTATTGAGATACTTGAGTCGAGGATCTATAGGAAAGAAAAAAGTTCTACTTTCATAAGGTTGGGTAAGGCTATGTGCACAAAACACATGACTTTTTTCATAGCTCACTTGTAAAAGTTATACTTGGATATGTTATTGTTATATTTTTTGTAAAACTGATAGATTATAGTATTGTATACGAAATAAAGTTTATTTAAAATAAGATGGATTACGATGTCGATGGAGTTCATCTGCTACTATAGCTATGTAGTAATGTGCTTGTCAATTATGTAATTTTCATTTGTGCTAGTCGAAAGGATCGATTTATGCACAACTTAACTATTTCACGAGTACCTGCTACCTCCTGATAGTACTTTGAAATTCCCCAATGAAAGTGGAAAGGCAAACTCCCAGCTCTACTTTGGAGTGGGTTGGGCCATATAACTTTTGGGCCAAATACATAAGGCTTTATTTGGGTTATTTTTCTTGGCCCAAAAAGTTAAGTGGGAGCTTTGGATTGGATCATAGTGTAGTTCCTCCCTGTCTTCAAAGCAATGAAGTTTGTTTTTCTTTCGAAAAAATGACATAAATACACAACTTAGGATATCATAATTTTTAAAATTTCCTACAATTTTCTTTAAAAAAATACAAAAATCTCCTCTCGGATACATCCCTCCCATTAAGTAATGTATCGTTTGCAATGTATCGGACAACCAAAGAATGTATCTGAGAGCAATGGAAAATCTGATTTTTTTTAATTGGAGAAACTTGAGGGTTAGGATGTAATTAGCCCCCAAATGTATGAAATTTCAGTAAGTTTTCCTGTTTCTTATGATTTTTTTTTACTTTTTTTTTTAATAGTATCGGTTGCGTTTAGAGTATCGAACTAATTCACTCGCGGATGTGTTTATCGACCCAACAATGCTCACCATCAAGGGAAATGAAATGGGTCTGAATAGAGCAAAATGAACATAAAAAAGTTCATGTAATCAATCATTTATAACTAATTTAGGGTTGAAAAGTAGTTGATTCATTAATTGATTGACTTTTTTCCTTCGAATAGTGGGATCATAATCCGTTGCCTTACCACTTAGTCACATCTCACGCCACATTTAGCTCTCTAAATAGTTTAGAATTGAGACGTAATTGATTGATCGATAGATTACCTTAGCCAAAAAGGGTTTAATAGTTTCAATTTGTTGCTAAAGATTTGTTTTGTTCTTTTCCTTCAAGTGTATCAAAATCAATGGTTCACACTTCAAAAGTGGTCTATCTTTTCCTCCACCATTATCGTTGAAATTGATATATTTGTGCTAAAGGCTATTGGAATCTTATACTTAGTGAGTAGTGATATCTCTTGTTTGTTCCAATAGCATCTAATGTGCTTTTATCCAATTTATTTACTTCAATTACTTGATGGAATAGAATAATAAAAAGAAATGAAAGAGCAGTCTGATGCACTAAACTCTTGTTATGCACGTAGTTCATGAATGCTAGAAGAGATAGAGAAGAAAAACACCTAGTATCAACTTTGCCCAACAAGGCTCGAAGATATGAAAAAGAATCACCTAGTAATTTTGTGTATGGTGAAATTTCAAACGTGAGAGTTCATGATTATCCACTTCATTAACCATTGTGTCACACCCTTGGATGCTGGATTGGGATGTTAATTTCTTTTAACAAACATGGTGTCTACGACTACTTATACACACCTCAATTAATTTCACGGAATACCAACTACCTTCCACTAGCACATACTAATATATTTTCTTCATTTCCTAACAATCTTGAATATTTGCCACAACTATAACCATCAAGAAACCAAAATTGAAACAAATGTGGCAAACTACAAAGTGGCAATCACAATAAAGCATAGTTTTTAAAACACATAACACATATTTCTTCCATAAACTTAAAGAGAAACTTACAGACAAGCAACTCGCATGCACACATGGACACATACACAAGACATCAAGTGCAGTTCCAGAAGGGAGAAAGTAAGATTACAGTATCAACTTTCAACCTACAACCTCCCCTCTATTTATTCCCAACAGACACTAAAGCAAAAGTTGAAGAAAAGACGACATAAAATGCATCAAACTCTTGACAAAACTCTAGTCTCCCCACCATTGATGAGCAAACACACCACTTCTCCTTAGAGTTTTGAAAAGGTTCATGCAGTCCCCACAAAGAGCATTTTTGCAGTCTACAGCCGAGCAGCGAAGGAACAGCTCATCGACATGGCATATTGATCCAGTTTTGAATAGTTCTGCTAGAATATTTAGCTCTGCTGCCCTAGCATTCATCATGAGGACGACATAGTCTCCGTCTTTAACTGTTTCACTAAACCAACGAATGAAGTCAAATCCTTCATGATCTAGCGGTGCACCCAAATATTCGTCAGTGTCAACAAATGGCAAAGTAGCCTCTCCGGCGACAGCAAGTCCTGGATGGTACACAAAGTTAATACCAGGATTCTTCACATATAAAGACAGTGCGGAGGTGTTATGATCAATGACGAAAACATTGAACAAGTGGTGAGGGATCGGATAATGAGGCTTGAATGTTCTTGCAAGAGTTGATTCTACAAATTCCCCTGCACCAACGTTGATATACACCAGTTTGTTCCTTGATGAGATGTTCATGAACTTGGGCAAGTATGAGATCTGTGTCTCAAACTGTCCAAGCTTCTTTTCCATGAGTGGCTCAAGGTGCTTCAAGTACGGCTTGTTGTTCACATTGGAAGGACAATTAGCAGGCAGCACAGAATGCACGAGAGATTCAACAATCTCTGATCGTTTCTTGAACATCACTAGAGTATACGTGCCAACCCCACATACGTGCACAACATCAGAACTCTTCAAGAACAACGAAACTGGGGTGGCAGACCTTATCAAGTTGCCTTTTATCAAGTTACCCGCGTAGAAACTACTAGAACCCACGAGCATAACACCAGTGCCCCCTGGACGTAAGACACGCTCAATCTCAAGCACCATAAGAGCTGGAACAGTAACCTTATCAAGATCCCTCGAGAACACAAAATCGAAAGAATTATTATCATGATCGAGCTCATACATAAATCTTCTCCATATAAGAGAGAAATACGGGTGTGCATCAACACCAACAGCACTCAAGAGTCCCAGTTCTCGCAGCACCAAAGCTGCATACAACGATTTCTTCCCAACACACAATGCATTAGCATTCAAATCCAAGAAATTCTTTTCCATTAGCTCCTTAAACACATTCTTGGTCAATTTTTCATCGTCGCGCTTCATTAAAGACGCCCCAAACAGCGGAATCCCCAATCCATAAACGGGTTTAAAGAACCCGGTCACATTCATATACTGGTTAGACCCAAAGTTCAAAGGGCATACACCAAAATTCAACATTATAGGTTCAGATTTCTGAATCATATGTGTCATTTGAACAAATGACACAACAATCATAACAGTAACAAACAAGAACCCTTTCAGAATCAAACGTTTCACTAATGACCCATGAAGAAATTGCCATTTCAAAACCTTCATATCCATTTTTTTTCCTTTTAAGATTTCTAAACTTTAAAGCTCAAAACTTTCAAGATCTATAACGGCAAAGTGAAGTTTTCACAGAAGCTAAAAAGCTAAAAACAGGAGATTTAAGTCTAAAAACAACAAAATCAAACAGATTAACGAGTACAAAACCTGGATGAAGTGTGATTTCCACCCACCATTAATACCATTGTCATTTGAGATCTAAGCCATACCCTTTTCGGAACCCTTTTCCCCATTTCTTCAAACGGGTTCATACCCATCTCAAAACCCCAATTCATCACCCAAAATTGAGCTCGACCCACATCATATTTTCACATAAAAATCACAATCTACATGATAAATTAGTCAAAAAAATTCACTCAAGAACTGAAAAGGGGATCAAGATTTGTGAAAAAAGATTGAAACTTTGGGATCTGTGAATGAAAAAGAGTGAGTATGAAGTGAAAGGATGAAAGATGCTATAAGGAAGCTGCTGAACTGTAGGAAAGTAAAGCTCTTTGTCGGCTATCCACTGCGTGGCAAATGGTGAGAGGATTGTGAAGTTGTTGTTAGGGAAGATAGGGTCCCAGTTAAGCTATTATTGAATTGGTTGGATTTAGGTTTTATATGGGGTTTGTGTCATCTATCAAGTGTGATTAGCGTGAGTAGTGCCGGCAAAACAAACGCGGTAACCCGTTCAATCCGTCCATATTTGATGAGTTGGGTGAGTAACTTTTTATATGGATAAAATATGGGTGGATATTCATATTCAACCCATAAAAATATGGGTAAAATATGAATTAGCCAAATGAGTTAAGTTTCTAACTTTTATTCACTCAAAATTTATGATATTACCAAATATATTGTAACTTCTCTTCCTTTTTATGTTCTTCTATAAAACTAATTATTTTTCTCTATAATTGAAAATGTGAAGTCTTTGGCCCTCCAAAAATATCTCTTTTAAATGTACATTTCTTTTGTTAATTCTAATTATATTTTTTTTATTTGTTTAATTTTATATTAGATAATAAATAATAGTGTAACATAAGCAAATCATGTACTAGTATTGACATTGCTTAAAGTGCATTAAGTATGTTTTAGGGTGTGTTTGCTATGAAGGAAAACATTTTCACCCCTACCCTCGACCCCACCCCCCCTTAAAAGTTTAAGTTTGTTTTTAAAAAATATTTTCAATTTCTATAATTATTTTCTACTCTCTAGTAAAAATAAAAGATATTTTCTCAAAAATATTTTTC